AAGCAGCAAATTTAAAAGATTGCTAATATTTGATTAGATAAAGAAACAAAATTTTAGCAATAGTTACAAAGATATGCATCTAACAAGTCAAGAATTCATATGGTTAAATAGAAAAGCAGCAACAAAAATTGACTATATATGAGTATTAGAAGAACTGGTCTTAGGTTTACAAAAGGCAAAAATTGAAAATGCTGAAGGAATTACCAAAAGTGATTATAAAATAGTAAAAACAAAAATATGGATTAAACACATAATAATAAAGAATAATAAAGCTGAAATCAAAAGGAAAAAACAAATAAAAACAGTATATCTATATGATCAAACAAAAGAAGAAAACTGAAAAAAGTATATACAAGATCTGCAGAAATGGTTAGAAGCCAAGAAGATGCTAAAGAACATCCAAAAAAAAGAAATAAATAGTATAAACAGTATATAGAATGTATTGTAATAGAATTTATTTTTTTTCTATATTAGTATATATTTATTTTTAATTCTATATTATATTTTATATTTTTTCTAATATTTTTATATAGTTTATAAATTATTTTATTAGTTTTAATTATCTATTTAATAAGTTAATATTTATTTATTTATTTTTTTTTTTTTTGAATTTCCACTGCTTGATCGCTAGTGGTCCGCAGCTGGCAGCTGTTTTATTAGTTCAAATTTCAAGTTCACAGGACCTTCTATCAGGACCCCATCTACATTTTTACATTTTTAGTTTGTGTACATTTATGGTACTATCTATATTCAATTTGTGTTCCTATTACCCCGGAATTTTACTGGAATTGTCCTAATCGGGGATTCTTTTGTTCTATTTTTATCCTTAGCCCCCTAATCATCGCGGCCTTCTTATGTCAGGTTTGTCACCATTTAAGGATCTGGGTACCGAAGATCTTCCTAATTTCGTTAGACATCATCTGATGTGGTTAATTAACAATCGTGGTCCTAACTTAGTTTTCATCCCCCATTGGACTTGAACCGGCAAGTTAATATTTATTTTATTAATAGATTTCTTATAGTATTTTATTTTAGCTAATAGTTGTTAGAATATCTAAAAATACAGTTATTTAGTATTACAAAGGCTCTAACAAAAGGCTCTAGGTCATGCTCCAGGTGCCCCAGGTGCCTCAGAATAGGGGCCTGCAAATTGCCTATTTTTGAAGCCCAGCCTAGCTTGCAATTAGGGTTAAAAATTTTTTTTAGGCCTGGTCCTGCCTGCATTTAGGGTTACTATTTTTTTGCCAGCCTGGCCCAGCCCATATATGTTAAATTTTTTCTTCAGCCTGGTCTGGCCTGGCCCAGCCTGCAAAATTTCTTATATAATTTTACAATTTTCAGACCTGCAATTATAAAGTTTTGCAAATTTTTTGGCCTAGCCTGGCCTGCAATTATAAAATTTTGCTTCAGGCCCAGCCTGGCTCGCAAAAAATTGCGAGCCGGGCCAGGCTGGGCCAGGCTGGGCCAGGCTGCAGGACTCAATGCAGGCCTCTACCTTAGGATACTCTAAAATGATAGAACAATTAATTTAATTATGGTTAATTAATATTTATTAATTATAATGCAATATTTACTATAGTGTTACTATATAGTTTCTATATATTACTATAGTTATTTTTAGTTGTGCTTAGGAAAACACTTGTAAGAAGGCTTTTGAATACTAAATAACTATAGAGAGTTTTGTAGATAAACATATAGGCTACACAATGATATTTGTTTTATTTTTAGTTAATATGTAAGTTATTGCATAATAGAACACCAAGTATTAATAAAAATAGAAAGATACAGAATTGGTTTACCATTTATGTACAAGCATTATTAGTGAAATGCACATGGAATTTCTTAATTTCTGCTGCATTTTAAACATCTATATGGTTCAGGATGATGCTACAACACATGATAGCTCTAAAACCAATCAATTATTAGGCTAAAAGCTATAAAAAGAATAGCTTTTTACCTTTCTAAAAGAATAGTTTTTAGAAGTTCCTAGAATAGTTCTTAATAGTTCTTAATAACCCTTAATAGTTCTTAGAAATTCTGTTTTTATATATATAAAAAACTTCTTGTAATAATTATTCAACCAACAACACTCTAATAAAATAACCTTTAATTGAATATTATTTATAAAAACTATTCTTTATTTTTTATAATAATATAAAGTGAAAAGCTGGTTTTCTTAATTAGTTATTTGGCAAATACTAGCTTTATATTATTCCTTTATTCTTCTTCTTTTTTTTATAATAATATAAAATGAAAAACTGGTTTTCTTAATTAGTTATTTTAGCAAATACTAGCTTTATATTATTGAATATTTTATTTTTCTTTCTTGTAATAATATAAAATAATAGCTATATTTGTAAATAATACTTTGACAGGTACTAGTTTTATGTTATTAGAATTTAAAAAGCTATATATAGCTTAGGATAGCCTAATTATCTGTTACTAATTATCTCTTTTAGTGTCTTAGGATACTTTTAAGTCTAATATAGGTAATTCTTATAAAAAGTAAACTATTTATTAAGCCCAACCAATACAAAAAGAACAATAAGTCAAATCTTCTCTATAACCAACTTATCATAAAAATCCTTATAGTATCTAGAAGACTATTGAATTTAAATTATATTTTTAAATATTTATTTTTTATTTTTAGTTATTTTTATTTATTTTATTTTCCTTTAAATAAAAGATCTTCTATTTGACATTCATCACTTTAAAATTTACTATAGCTTAATAGTTTTTAGTAAATTTTATTACAATATAATTACTTAAAATATATTCAAGGGTTTTATAAAAAAGAACAAAAAAGTAAATCAATCAAAATGATTAACAAAATTATAGATATTTTTAATAATTAGAAGAATATGATCAAATTTAAATTTATTTAACATTTATTCAGTAATATGCTAAAAGATTTATTGTAAATCTTAATTTTTTTAATCTGAAAATAACCTGGTTATTCCATTTGTCAAAAATAAAATACAGCAACTTTAAATTTTTTTAAAAGATAGTGAATCTAGTACAAATTTTGGAAATAAGATGAATTTGTATATTACAAATCTTGGATCTGAATCATATATTTTTAATTCTGTATTTCAAGCAACTTTTGCTGCTGTATATAAAAAATTTAATAATTATTTTTTATACCATTCTTTTTGATCTTTTTTTATTATAGTACAAATTTTTAACCTTTACTTTATTAAATTAACTATTATTAATTGTAATATTCAAAATTATATGATACAATTTCTGAATTTAATAATCTTTCTAATGAATTATTACATGAATAAGGACTTTATTATAATTTAGAATTTTTTTTTTTTTTGGTATTAAGGTAACCTCTTTGGTCTTTTGACTTTTATTAATCACTTATCGGTATGTGGTTCAATAAACCACTATAGAAGAGTGTACAATTGGCTACACATATAACTTTTTTATATTATCTATTTAAGGAATCCATCCAAAGGTTCCCAACCAATTGCTGTACCTAACACCCCTGCTTGGATGTTCTACTTTAAACCCTTTGAACCTGTAACTTGTATTAATATTACTAGTCATCTCAGATGTACCAGATCATCGTCCTCAACCTTAGGACTAATTTATCTTTGAGGTAAACCCTCCAGAGCCTTCTGTACCTATTTTTATAGCTGACCTAGGTATCACTATGGCAGAACCAACACTTGTGGTCAGGGCTAATCATTAAACCACTATGCCCTTATAGAGTTCACTTAGACCCTAGCATTTACTTCACAGCATAACTCCAGTACTTTAGTATATCCCTACTTTTTCCTCTATCTTTTTACTAAACTCCCAATTCAGATAGCCTGTGTAGGACTATGACCAGTCCATCAGTATATCAAATCGACCTAATATTCTTTTTCTTTGGTTCGTTCCGATAGCCTGATTGGTAATACCTTTGAGACTCCTAACCCGAAGGTTCTTGTCTGTCTGACTACTAGGACCAGGTACTAGACCTGGGTATCCATTTTCCTATGCTAGCCTTTACAGTAGGCCATCGAAGATCTAGCTACCTCTCTACTCGGATCTTCCTAAATGAACTTCTTGTTACCCAATTTCATCAGATTTATACAACCACAAGAACTTATCTAGTGTTTGCATCACCCAATTTGTCAGTTTGCATTTCTCCATATAACTCCAACATTGCACAGATGCTTCATGATCTGCCAGTCATGCTGGTGCGATTACCATTACAGGTATCCTAATCCAATCATTAGTAACAGTTGCCATAATACGAATATTATATAGGTGATTATTCAAATTTTTGCTGTCGATGGAATTTGAACACCCAACCTACTACTTGGAGGGTTAACAACCTGACCACTTCACTAGGTCACTACACCCCTTGTAATCTAAATTTGTTCTTAATTAAATTTAATAATTTGGAAGAATTTTGAATTAAAATACTTTCTTTACTTCTGATTTTAAGTAATATAGCTTCAATTTATATTTGATTGCCTATTTCTTCTTGCACTATAGAAAGAAGTTTTTCAGTTTATAATAATCTTTTAGAAGAAGATAGGCAAAATTTAAGTGAAGATTCATTGAAAATGCTAAATATGCTGTATTTCAATCAACGAAATAATAAAATTTAATATACAAATTTTTCCAAATTTTTAATTTTTTTATCCAAATTTTACCCAAATATTACTTGATACACAAATAAAAGATTTATGATTTGATGCCACGTCCCTGGTGCTGTGTCGTTAGGTATGCCCATTAAAATTAAAATAATCATCACGTGCCAACTAACCCTAACCCTAAAAAACTAAAATTGAGACACAGGATATTCGGGTTTATCACATGAATTTTGTGATATTTTAGAATTTATTAAAATTTAATTGGATAAATTTTTAAAATATCCCAAAACTCACGGGATAACCTCGAATTATTAAAACCGGTTCCAATCTCTAGTACACTATCGATGGCGATAGAATTTTTAGCGTTAATCGAACTTTTTTAAAATTATATTTTCGTCTTTAAAAATGATTGAAATCATTTGTAACGATCGGCTAGGCAAAAAGGTTCGCGTAAAGTGCAAGTAAGTTTTACTTTCTCTCTTTGAAACAATTCAAAGTACTTCTTATTATAACACCCTTGAACTTCCTATAGTCCTTCTGATACGGTTGGAGAACTAAAACAATTGATCTCTGCTCAAACCGGTACTGATGCTTCAAAAATCATTTTAAAAAAATGGTAAAGACAATATTAGTCAATGCTTGATTTAGCAACTACAATGTCTTGACGAAATAAATCCTTTCTTAAAGCCAATTTCGGATTTTAACGAATCTAAATTCTTGACATTCTAAATCAAGCTCTGACTGTATTTATATTTTTCGCTTGAAATTTTACCAACATTCGCGTGTTTTTGTACTTACGCTTTTTTCCTCTATAAATACATGGTTATTTCTTATGTGCATAGGTATACAATTTACAAGAATCATCTTACGTTGGAAGATTGTAAGTATAATGAATTATTCTTGTATATTGTCATTTACTTATATATATATATATATTTATTTCATAGATGAAATACACGATGGAATGAACTTGGAATTATACTACTCTTAGGAATATATACTGCCACCAGTAAGTGAAATCAACCAAAAGAAGGGGAACATGGCCCAGCTTTAAATTCATTGTTTTGTCAGACCTATACCGCTTCTTTGTTATCTGATTCTGTCACTAATAATTATTTAAATAAATATATTGTTACAAGTTGTAAAGTAACAATCTTATAAGACAAATGATGTGCTTATTTGAGAGGGTTCTTTATATGTCTGAGACATTCATTTAAAAAATATTTAGGAGTGCGTGAAATGGTACATCGTATCTCAGTTCTATAGTAACACCTCCACTTATATAAACTTTATAAATGTATACCTTTTCTTTGTTCGCTCCATTGCCTGGTTCTAGCTCTGAGACTTATAACTAAGTGCACACTACATTTTACACATGCAAGTGACTCCGAGTACCAGTTGATTAATATCGAAACACAGAAAAATTAGTTGTCCTAGCATTGCAACCTAATAAAATGTGTTGTTACATTAGGATTAGGGTTTTCACCATTGATTAGGTTAGGTGATATAGCAATACTAAAATTTCACAAGGAAACTTTTGTTAATGCGCAGAAAGCAGTATCGAACAGTCGCATGAGTAAATTTTTTCATTGTAATCAAATGATCGAAATTCATTCACTCATTTAATTGCTGATGCGGATAAGATCAGCACAATAATCGTATGCTAAAATTTAACGCTAATGCGTATGATAAGTAATCCTTTGTTAAGTAAATGCTATTTAAACTTATATAATAAAAGTTTAGAGAAAGCATTGCAGTTCTAATAGTCTATTAATGGTAAACTGCTATAATCGGTCTGGTGAATCGCAAAATAGTGATACGTGAAAATACAGTATTTTTATTTATACATCAGAAAAACAACTTTTCTATCCTAAAGTTTTGCTTATGAAACTGCTTTTCGTGCTCTAACAATAAGATTTCTCATAGTTTTGGTAAAATCTTGTTTTAAGTCCTTCTAACTTTAACCCTAAACGATCTAACAGAATGATCGACAAAACCTCGCACAGATTAGGTTTAACTCCAACTAGATTATTTTGTCTCCAGTTTAACAAGTCGGTTTGATTATTCTATTTAGTAAATTTATAATTCCCTTTGGTTTAAACCGGAGTGCTCCAGCGTACGTTAACCGGTTAACAACCCTATCAATTTTGTCGACTAATAAAAAAAAACTAAGAACGATTGACAAAAGCGTTGAAAGTATTTATAAGATTCGTATATGATTGTTGAATATATTTTTCAAAACAATATAAAACAAAAACTTTGAATTCGATTTATGAATATAACCAATTTATTGAATTGATAAATCAAATGTTCACAAAACAATTAACCATATAGTTCAAACTAAGCTAGTTCCAATCCTTCACTCTTTTAAAATTTTTATTCCATCTCGGTATCATCTGACAATTTCCTGAGAGATATATCGTATACGACTATAAGTTTAATTGAAGACAATGAGTAACGAATGGAAAGAAACATTGTAGCAATTATAGAATAAATCAATGCACCTTCTTCGATTTTTTTGATGTTATACTTTAAAGTTTAGGAAAAAATAAACAAATAGTCATAATATCAATAATAAATTAATGTCTATATGTGGTAATTACATACCTTTATGCTATCAAAACGCCTTCTCAAAGCATCATTTTTTAAATTCAATAATTGGAATCCTGTATACAATTGTTGAACAAAATTTGAGATGCGAAGAGGCCGATTATAATCACCGACTGTGACAGAGTTGATAGCGAGTCGAGACTAATTGAAGAAATGTTCCCATAAATTATAATCAGGTCAACAATAGAACTTTTCATAGAATATGATCGAATAAACATTACCAATTCATTAGTTAAAGTGATAAAACAATGAAGGAATTCTTCAAGAGATATGTGAAAGTCCTGTAGATCATTATTTAGATTGATCTTGGCTTATCAATGCCATTGTATTCATTAAAAAAAAAAGAGCAAATTAAATAAATAACGAATAATACAAGAATTATATATGTAATTGAAGCTTACCACCAAGCAATGATTCAATTTCACTTGCAGTTATCAATTTTTCATATTGGAGATAAATTGCAAATGCTGCAAGAAAAAGTGAATTCTGAACTGTTCTACTCCAAAGCTCATTATATCTAATACCCAAATAATAATATATCTTCATTGCCTGGTAAAACTATATATAATTGCATCACGAAACAAACCTGTAATATTGTTGATGAGGCACCAGTTGTGCAAGGTTTGTCATGTGTTGTTTAACTTCTCCAAATCTATCAATAGCTAATTTACCGACTGTTGGTACTATAATCAAATGTACGGTTAGTACAAAATTTCATGTAACAATATTGAATTATACATATGCATTACCTTCTTCGGCTTGAGCGGAATGAACTTTATTCAAAATAGCAGTGATCGTACGACAGGTCCTATCAAAGTCTCGTACCAACCGAAGTATCTCCTTTTAAGAAATAAGAGACTAATGTTAATAAATGTTCAACATTAGAAAGAATACTCTAGCTCAATAAATATTGAAACCGACATGCATACTTCTTTTCTCGAAGCCTCCTCTTCCATCGCAGCATCAATGTTGCCGAAGAAACTTAGATCAATAGACATCTTTTTGGTTCACAATGAAAAAAGTGAAAAAAGAGCGGTTATTAAGTTACAAGCCTATATCGATATCTGATAATCTTATTGCAAGATTACACTCCACATTCTTATTGGTTAGAAAATTAAGTGTGATACAAACCAATCAGAATCCTTAGATAGCAAAGCATTTAAAAGAATTCGACGTACGTACGTATGTGCAATATTAACAATGAACCGTAGACAGAGTCAGCCGCCTTTAACTGTCAAAGAACCTTGCTATCGTTGTGCATGGTAAATTTAGAATCTTGAACTTTAATTAATCTTTTTTTCAATATGTAGTCTTTATTTTTTTTATATAGCGGGAGAATAATTCCGATCAGTGAGATCATGAGCAAACAGTCAATATATCCAAGGTGATTTTTTTTTTAATCTAAATGTCTGGTGCGAGCAGCCTGAATACATTCCAATTGACATCAAATTTATTAACCTTTGTAAATAATATTTTACTAAGAAAATGCATTTTTAAATTAAACAAAAATTTTTTTTATAAATTTGACCAATTAGATTACTGTTCGCACCATATTCAATTATTAAGTTCCAATAGTGATATTGTATTATAATTTTGATAGCACGACCGCTTTTCATGACACTGTGTCATCTTCACGGTTACCGCATATATCAGCTCGTCGTCTTATAGAAAAGGCGGAAAGATATATTCACGTCGATGCTCCATGTAAAACTTTAATGGGTGATGTTTGCGATTTTACTCCCGGACAAAATGGGTTTTCGGTTGAAAAGAATGCAGAAGAAATTTCTTTATAGTCAAATTCACGTGTGAAATATTACATTATCTGCATTTATATGCATTATAACATTTCCATTAGATTATTCTGCATCATATTTATACGTAGTTTATACGTAATATCGATATATTTATACAAATTGCTACGTACATGAAATTTTTTACATATTTACTTTTAATATGGAATCTTGAAAGACAGTATCAGAATTAAAATTATTATATTGATTGCTTTCTCTATTAAATCAAAAAAGGAAACGGTTTAATAGTTTATACAATACGTAGAAAGCAATGTGTATCCGTTTATCCCTTAAAAATTAAAATTATGACTACAATATCGATAGTTAGATCAACGAATAAGGTACGTACGTATGTACCTGAAATTGAGCAACCATATCAGACTGGTGGTTCTAATGCAAGTCTAATTACAAACATAGTGCTAAACCTACCGTAAAATACGAACTTATATTGAACGTTAGTAAATGCTCATATTGCACTTGATAAAAGGTAAAATTTTATAGTAAAAATAAACATTATTTAAAAGAAAAAAAATTTGTAAAATTTATTTAATATTTTCTTCATTTGAAATTACTACATCTTTACTTAAAATATTATAGTTAAACATTAAATCATTCTTAGATCTATTCATTTTTCACTGAGATATAATAGTATTTAAATTGTTTTTTAATCTTACAAGGATCAATATCATTTCATAATTTTTTCTTTTTTTTTTTTTTTTTTGGTGTTAAGGTATTTCATAATTCTTTCACTTATTGAGCTAAAGTAAAATATAATGACTTTCAAATATATCAGTATGTATAAATTGATAAGAATTATTAATTATTTATTAGTTATAATAAAAATGTATTATTGATTAAAATTTTGTTAGTAAGTCTTATAATAATAAAAATATATTAAATTTGTAGGTTAATAGCACAGTAGTTAGTAGGATTTCTTAGATTCAAATATTGAATCAATTTGAATTTGATCAAATCAAATATATTTTGATTCGAATTTGATTTGATTTAAAAAAATTTTTTTAATTTTAAAATATTGATTGGCAAAGATACAACTTAATTTAAAAAATATTTACTATGTTAATCAATTTTGAGCTCTTAAATAAAACTGTTTTTCTAAACAAAATACTTCTAATTTAATAAAATAAAAAAGTCAATTGTTTTAATAAAATTTTAAGTAAATGACTTGTAATATTAAACATTCTTTATAAATTTTCAAATTAAATTAAATATTTGTTAAATCAAATTAAATTTGATTACATTTAAATTAAATTAAATAACTTTAAAGTATAATAACTTAATGAAGTAGATAAGTTGTCATATTTTCAAATAACAGGTTATAAGTTCAAACCTTATCAAAAATAAAAATTTAAAAAATATATTTATATTATATCAACAATATTCTGTTAATTAGTTAAAATAAAATATTTATAATTATAGTTATACTAATATAGTTAGCAAATTATAGATATAGTTAGACTTTCTTAAATGCATTTTTCTTAAATGTAACATCTTTCTAAATGCATAATATAAGTCTAGTTCTATAATAAAACTTATAAAAATAAATGCATGTTTTTTATTCTATAAGTGTATATTATTTTTTTGTATTATTTATAATAAACTTTCTCTATAAATATATTTATATAATTGCAAGCCAATAAATTCTATTAAGTTTTTTAATAATTTTATGATTTTAAATTATAATTTATAGTATTATATCATAATGCTTTAATATATGCTAATTTTCATTAATGCATATTCTTTAAATTATAATTTTTAAATTTTTTTATCATATTTAATACTCATAAATATAGTAAGTTGAATGTTTCAATCAATATATATATTAATTTATTAGTTATTAAGTACTGTAAAATATTATATTAATATATCTTATAAAGAAAAAAAGATGATTTTGATATATAGTAAAGAAAACCAATATCTGATTTTTATATTCTAACTTTATATAAAAAGTAAAATACAGTAATTAAATCAAATATTAAAGATTTTTTTATATATTTATTTAAAACTAGTTGTTTGACAGTTATTATTTATATAATCAAGAGAGTGTTTTTAAGTGTTTTAATCAATTGAATAAAAAATATTTTAAGAAAATTAAAAGTGTTTAGCATTATAATAAATATTTAAATAAATATTATAGTTTAATAAAGTTTATTATATAGTTAATAAATTTCTATTAGTAAAAATTATTATGTAAATTTTTTATTTCAATTTATAAATATTTTATAACAGACCATCTTTTTTTTATCTTTGGGTTAAAAAATTTTAAAAGATTACAAAAGTAATCCTATTATGCAATCTTGTTATGCAAAAACTGAATATTAATAAACTAAATATAGTTATAATAATATTTAATAAAATATTTAATAAATTACTTAAATATTAATTACAATTCTTATTTTAATTAATTGTAATAAATAGGCTTAAGAACATCTTAAATGTGTGATTTATTTTAAAAAAATTAAAAAAAATTAATAAAAAATACAGTAAATCTTAATATAAAATCCAAAAAAAATTATTATTATTATGGTTTGCATAAAGATGTAATCTTTATAGGTTATTTGTTATATAAATTATAGAAAATTAGACATTATTTAATTCTAATAGATTTCAAATAAATACAAATGTTTTTAATTAAAAATATAATTGATAAAAATTAAAAATCCAAAATTTTTTGCTATTATTATGAAAATTACAGAGTTATATTACATTTTTTGCAAAAAGCTAAAATTATTATAAAAATAAAAAATTATTCTTTATACAATTTATTATTTAATATGCTCTTGCTTTTAAAATTAAAATTTTAAGATTAAACTGCCAAAATTTGAAATATTACAATTTTATAATACTTGATATAACTAAATTTATTATAGCTTAATTTTCAAATAACAATTTTATTAATAATATTAGCTAATTATATTTTAAAATATAGATAATATTATAGAAAAATTTGAGTAAATCATAACAGGATCTTAAAATTTTTACACTAGGTTTTTGCTTTAACAAAATTTAAAACTAAAATATTTTTACAAAATAAGTCTTAAAAAAATATTTATCTTGTTTAATTTTACAATTTAAGTAAATATTTAAAATTTTGCAATTCTACAATGTATAATTTTTTTATACCAAATTTTTTTTTTTATGAATATAAAAAAAAAAATTTAGTATAAAAAAATTATATATCATAGAATTGTAAAATTTTGAACACCAATTATCCATATAATAAAACCTTATAATTAAGCAAAAAAAAATTTAAAAATACTTAATAAATAATAATAAAAAAGTTTTAATATTATATTTTTGTAAATAAAACTTTCTTCTATTAACTATTACAATAACAATATATTTTTTAAAAAACAAGTAAAAAAACTACTTTTAATAATAAGCAAAAAAAAAAATTATTAAATACAAAAATAAGAACTCTAATATTAGTTATATTGATCTTGTCTTATAGATTAAAAATAAATTTAATCTTGATGTTTATTTGACTACAATTAGATATCTAATAAAAAATAAAGAAAACATTAATAATAATCTCTCTAAAAAAAAATAAAGAACAGTTCAATATCTAGATTTTAACAATATATTGCTTAAGTAAATTTTATAAAATCAAGATAAATTTATTTTAAGTAATAAATTTTGATCAAAAAAGCAAAACTTTTGCTAAAATGTTACCTGACTGCAACCTTAAAGGTAGAATATACTATTTTAAAATTATATATAAACTTAGTAATAATTTTTTTTATATTTATATTTATAAAAAACTATATTAAGTAAACTAATTTAAATTAGAGTGTGGGTCTCATAGCTTAGCAGTTAAGCTCCCATACCCTCCACAGTCAAGATCAACAGTTCAAGTCTGGCTGAAGGCAAAATTGAAAAATTTTAGCTTCTGTAACCTAATAAGAAGTCTGTAATTGAATACAAAGCCATGTAGTTAAGTCCAAGTGCAATACAATGATGGAAATAGGAATTCCCAGAAGGAGACCCAATCATGGAGTACAGGCACTATGCGTAACAAGTGGTTGTTACAGAAGGTTACGGTTATGGAAAGATTGCGCATGTAAGTCCTTTAAGCTAAGGCAACACCAACATCCTTATACCTCCTAATATAGGCAGTACCAACATCCCTGCATCCAACTTGTGGAGTACTTGCTTGGAAGGATAAT